TATATATTGTACAAAAAAAAAAAGTGTGTGTATATGTATATATATATTGACCTATACGTTGGGGTAAACTAGAAAAGATAAACATGAAAGCTGAAACAAAAAGCAGAATGCTCTGGGATGCAGGGAAGTTTATGGAGAATAAGGCCTGGAACTCAAGGGGTTAAATCAGTGTTTCCCTTACATAAGGGCATTTTTGAGGGTACCGTTCCTGATCTATTGCCATTTTATGTTTCTAGGAGGTGCTGTAGGGGGATTATTGGGCGCCTGGATGTCCAGCGGTCAGTTCAAGCCGGTCCCTCAGATTCTTATGGAGATGCCCCCCATCCAGCAGCAGAACCTGTGTGACAACGTCTACGCCATCATCGGCAACCTGGACTGGACCGACGCTAGTCATCTCATCATGCTGGTCATGGGCAATGCCTCTTTACAACAGAATGTGGCAGCAGCGCTCATCAACTTCGTGTCCCAGGAGCTGAAAGCAGAGATCCAGTATGGAGACTAGAGGGCTGCGCAGCCTGCATTGCATTGAATGCCGACACTGTGATAAATGAGCCGACACTGTGAAGAAAGAGGGAGACGCTGTAATTGGGTCTTCTACTGAGGAAGATTTTACTGTATTTTGGAAGTGACGCATTTAAATCGGAACTCCAGGATGTGCAAGAATTAACCCTTGCAGTGAGGCTACCACAGCACTGCAAGGGTTAACTGCTCGTTTTGGTCTAGGGGATATACTTAACTGATCCTTGATCCTCTCTGGGTGCTGGACCAGTCCCTGCAGCCTCTTCTTCCCCCGGCGGTCTAAGCCCCACTGACATCATCACGTCTATGCAAGGTCCATTCACTTGCATTAAGGTGCCCACACACCTTGTGATAATCGTACGATAATCGCGGGAAATCCCGCGATTGTACGATTATCGCAAGGTGTGTGGAAAGCGTGCGACTTCCTGCTACTGTAAGGTCGCACGACTTTTATCTTAGGAACATGTTCGAAAACCCGCCGAGCATCGTACGATTGTCGGCGGGTGTGTGGCATGTTCGTAAGATAAATGCCACACGGGCCGATGTGCGCAAGCGCACGCTGCCCGTTCAGCATTGCGGTCATCGGAAGCCCGCCCCTCAGAGGGGAGGGCTTGCGATCATCGCAAGTACGATCTGCCTGTCCAAGATGGGCAGATCGTACGTTTTTTTTAATTACCTCACAACCATCACAAGACAAAAGGTGTGTGCCCAGCTTTCGACGTGAGGATGCAGAGACATGCCAGAGCGGAGGAGGTGATCGCTGACTGCTGCAGGACCAAGGATCAGGTGAATATATCTTCGGAATGCCCCTAGACCAGTGGTGGCGAACCTTGGCACTCCAGCTGTGGCCAAAACTACAAATCCCAAGATGCATCTGCCTCTGGGAGTTATGTCTATGGCTGTCAGAGCCTTGCAATGCCTCATGGGACTTGTAGTTCCAAAACAGCTGGAGTGCCAAGGTTCGCCATCACTGCCCTAGACCAAAACCAGCAGATTACACTTGCAGTGTGGGGGGTGGCACCACTGCAAGGGTTAATTTTGCACATCCTGTAGTTCTGCTTTAAAGTGAGCAGTCGCTTCGCAGATAGAAGCCCTGTGTAAGCTTCAAGTCAGTCTGAATGAAGCTTACACAGGGCTAAGGACTCTCTTCCTACACTCACCCTTCATGGGCCGCTCAGGCCCTTAGTGCTGCGTCATGGGAAGCAAGGGAGAGAGTCTCATGTCCCCCCGCCCCCCAAACCACCACCTTAATCAGAAGTAGCAGGTATGTCACTTGCCTCGCAATGGCGACCAGAGCAGGTGAGGAGCAGAAGGTGAATGTAAGCAGTGGGCTTGATTGCCAGTCTCTTGATGTTCTGTGCATGGACCAACCATGGATTCACCCTGTTACCTTTACCCGTGTAGGGCCAAAGGGCCAGCATCTCTGCAGCAGGGCCCCCTGAACCCCATACACTTGCTACATCTACTATTCCTCGCAGCTCCTTCCTTTGTTGCAGCCGGCACTGAAATCACCGGTACCAATGACCAGGGGAAGCTGTGATGTCACTCCCTTGGTCATGTGACATTGCTCCTGCAAACCTGGAAGTGCTGGGTAGTGTCATCAGCTGCAGAGGAGGAAGGATCTTTGGGGGCGCTCAGGTAAGGTGAGTATATGGAAGTCAGGGGTGGCCTACATGGGCAGGGTGACAGTATTTCTGTAAGGCTTACCTGAGCCATGTCCCTTTTAAAAATGTCTGCCTGTCTCTGTTAGGGCCATTGTCATCGGGCTTTGAGTTTGTGTCCATGACATCAGTTTGAGATGCTTCTGAGATCATTCTGGACTCATTGACGGGTATAATTGACCTGCTTCTGACCTGCTTCAAGCAGGTTTTGTATGCCAATAGACGTGTATGAAAATGCATGGGTATAAAAGCCCGCTGACCCAGGCCCATACAGTGTCCAGCCCCAGCTATAAGTTGTAGCCTGGTCATGGGATGTCATGGAGGCCTTCAGCCTTACGAACGTTCTCTGATGTCTGTTGGTACCTTCAGTGACATCACTTCTACAACCTAACTTCCTTGGAGCATAGTAACTTGCTTCATGAAAGGGGCATAGCTTAGACCAATGGAGATGGATCTTATTGTGAGCAAGCGATGGGCATTAACTTCACCCTTCCAAAATACACTAAAACCTCCAGAAATGAGCTAAAACATACATTAAAGTGACCCTGACAGCAACAGGTAAAAGTGAAGACAAATCAAACATTTGGAATGATTACAGTGTTCCGTTCCACGAACGATTTATTATTCACTTGCAATGTGCCTTTACACTTGTTCGAAACATTGACTACTCCAGGAGAGTCAATTCCCTAGTGCAGCCCCCTCCTTCCTCGCATGCACTCCTCTTTTAGGAGTACCTCATTACTCTTTGTGCTGGCCCAGCTCCTCCACCCCTCCCTTTTACCTCTCTACATAACCTTTTATGCAGTTTTCATGGTAGGAGTGAAGGGGAATGCCATGGAGCAGGGGTAGACGAACTCCGGCCTTCCAGCTGTGGTGAAACTAAAAATCCCATCTTGCATCTGTCACTGGGAGTCATACCTGTGACTGTCAGAGTCTTGCAATGCCTTATGGGACTTGTAGTTTCCCAGCAGCTGCCGGGCCAAAGTTTGGTTACCCCTTCTATAGAGTGTTGGCTCTAAGTCTGCTGGGGCTGCTGGCATCACATCCAAGATGGCGGCGCCCGGCAGCAGCCTCGGGGCTTTCAGATGCCTACATGCATAAAATACAATGAGGGGAATTTATCAAAACTAGAGCGGACAAAATGTGGAGCAGATTTGCACAGCAACCAATCATCTTCTCTCTTTCATTTTCAAATCTTACCTGAGCAAACTGAAGAGAGATGCTGATTGGTTGCCGTGGGCAACTGCTCCAGTTTTGATAAATTCCCCCCAATGAATGCAATATACTCTGAGATGATTTTTGTTGAAATGAATTGTCTGGCAACAGGGTCTCTTTAAGGGTGGCCGATGTCGCATTACGCTGCTCATGGAAGTGTCTCAATCAGCTGAGATTTTGACGACCAATATCAACGCATCTCAGCGCTCTGATCACCTAATGCTGGTAATTATTTATAATAGATCTTGTATATTTTCTCAGACAGATCTTCCATACAGTTGGCTGGTGGAAGTATTTTGGTAAGAATTTCATAGCTGACGAGCTGTTCTCCTCAGAACAAAGCTGGCGGAGTTGGGGATTGGTTGGAGTTGATGGCAATGTGTCTTTTTTTTAATTTTTTAATTTCATTTATTGTGCAACAGAACTGTAAGGATTGGCCAACATCCAAACCCCATTATGGCTTTTCCTGACTTAGGAGATCTTTTTCAATGCTCCAATGTAACCACAAAGCACAGGATTGTCTGTGCAGTCTACGTTATGTAATAGGTTTAGCCCCATTGAGGAAGAAGGACTCCCTTCCACTCCAGATTGTGGATGGCAGATAGACATGGACAAGAAATCAATTAAGGATTATTGTCCCTTTAAAATGATAAGGGCTCGTGTGGATCTGAGCTGCTTATGTTCCCTATAGAAGTCAACACGAATGCAAAAGCAACCTGAAACTGCTCAGTACAGCTCCTTGAGCTACTAAAAGCCAAATAAAAGTAACTCAAAGCATCCCAGAGCCAACCTACTTTTGACTTGCTTCTGTTTCTGAAGCCTGATGATACAAAAAAACCCTCTTGAAGTTACTCTGTAGGGCCAAAGGTGTGTGGACACCTGACCATCCCACCTACATGAGCTTGTTGGACATCCCATTCCAAAACCATGACCATTACTATAGAGTTGCCCCCCTTTGTGGCTATAACAACCTTCACCATCCCACCTACATGAGTTTGTCGGATAGCCCATTCCAAAACAATCACCATTTATGTAGAGTTGGCCCCGTTTGTGGCTGTAACCGCCATCACTATCCCGACCACCCCACCTATATGAGCTTGTTGGACATCCTGTTCCAAAACCATGACCATTAATATAGAGTTGGCCCCCTTTGTGGCTATAACAGCCTTCACTATTCTGGGATGGAGTTCCACAAGATCTTGGAGCATGTCCGGGGGAATTTTGACCATTCAAAGTTCAGGTAATTGGTGGATGAGAAGACCTGGCTCAGCGTTTCAATTCATCCCAAAGGTGTCCTTACGGGTTGAGTTCAGGGCTCTGTCCAGGTCACACCAACTCATCAAGCTATGTCTTTAAGAAGCTGGCTTAGCACACAGGGGCACAGTCCTGCTGGAAGAGAAAATCATCCTTCCCAAATGGTTGCCTCAAAGTTGGAAGTGCGCTTCCAACTACGATTAAGGGTACATCATCTCTGTATGCTGTACCCCTTAACAGTTCCCTCCACTGGAGACATCTGAACTCAATCACGTCAAGGGGTCTCCACATACGTTTGGTCATAAAGAAGGTGTGTTGGTCAGGTGTCCACAAACCCTTGGTCGTATAGTACGTGTATTTAGCCATTTGAAGACCGTTATATAATTCAATCTATTTGATATGAATCTTTGCAGTTAAGAAACCTGTGGTTTTCCATGTTCATCAAAGCAAGATTCATAGCGTGTCCATCATTGCAAAGAATGCACTTTTCCTGCTCCATAGTCTTATGTTTCCTTCACTCCTTCATTACTTTGTATGGTCTCTTGGAGTGAAGTGACATGTCTGATACTTCTAGGTATGGGGGAGCATGTCATTGTCATGATAAAAAACACTGGATGTCTCAGTGGCCAATTTCCAGGTCAAAGCACTGTCACGTTGGCACAGAGAGACCGTCCTCACCCCTGGAGGTGCCTTCTCTATGATCCTGACCCCCAAGGTTCACGAAGAGACAAAAGGTTCACTTTAAAGAACTACACTCTCTTCCTGGAAGCAGGTCTCGGTTTACTTTTCTTTGCCTTTCAATCTGTTTAGAAGGAGCACAATTGTAGAACGAGTTTACAACATAGCAGTACGATATAATTACATTTTTACTTT